ATCATCGTTTTGCACCTGACACATCATATTGTTCGTTTTTATATTGGTGTAATTTCCTATCCAGGGCAGATGAGAGGATTGGGCAACAGTTGAGTGTGGCCGATGAAGTAAAACCTTGTCGCCTACTTGTATTGGGTCCTTGTATGTTAGGCGATTTAAGTTAGTCTCAAGTTTGTGGTCGGCTTCATCGTTGGCCAGGGTGACGTGGTGGTGAACCTGCTTTAGCAGGGCATTAATTGCATTCCATATGCTCCAGGATAGTCGCTTGTGATTTCTTTTCTGTGTAGTGTAGGTAGGCCGATGTTGGGGTGACGGCCGGTAATGGCATAATGCGGGGAGACACCGGTGGCGCTGTTGGTCGTGGCATTCATAGACGAAACGACAGATTCTAAAACGTCTGTCCATTCACAGTTCCTGTCTTCGCATAACATATAAAGTGCGTTCTTCATCGTGCGATGTTGTCTCTCGATATTTCCTGAGCTTTGCGGGCGCCAAGGACAGTGAAGTTCTTGCGTGATTGACATCTGGTTACAGAATTGTCGATAGACTTCTCCAGTGAAGTGTGTGCCTCGATCAGAGGATACTATGCGTGGAATCTCTGTGTCGAAGGAAGAAATGGTACAATCCGCGGGCGGCGTCGATAGCACTGTCTCTCGCGCATGGTATGGCTGTAAAATGTCGGCTGAAGCTATCCAAGATGGTTAGGATGTAGCGTTTTCCCTTTGAGTTGGGCATTGTGACAAAGTCTATAAAGACGAGATCGAATGGTCTCTTTCCTCGTTTGCAGTGGCCAATGGGCCAGTGGGTACGTCAACCGTAGTTTCCCTTGCATTTAGCACACGTGTCGCAAGAATCGACATAGGCCTTGATGTCGCGGTTTTTTGAATTCCCACCAGTAGCTGGAAAGGAGCTCTCGCATACGGGTGACACCTGAGTGGTTGTTGCCCTCGTGTGCCTGGTAGAGGTATCTGGGTCGTAGTTTGTATGGTACAACCAATCTCGGAGAGTGTTTACTGTCTCTTATCATCAAAACGGAGGTGCCTGGTTCTAGAAAAAATTGGTGGAAATGTTTTTTGAAAAGCGTAGCTCGGTGGTCGTCAGGATCGATATGAGGTTCGCTTGGAGTGGGTGACTGGAGGGCGCTGATGATCTTTGCCAGGGCGTCGTCCTTCAGTTGTTCATCTGCGATGCCGAGGTGGTTGCAGATTCTCTCAGTGGGGATGGTGATGGTGGAGTGATAGGCGGAGAATGCGTTGGTGACGCGCTTGTGGGTGCGGGCGTTTTGTGGTGTGTGAGTTTTGGGAATGAGCTGTAAATCGTTAAACTCGCCGAGGCACCAAGATGGGATGTATACGCGGAGGTCTGAACCGCTTACCTCGAATGTCCTGCCTGCCGGTGTAGGGTCGTTCGGGGCTTTCGTTTTCTTATGTCCGCAGCCTCTGCTGAGCATGTCAGCCCATACATTTGATTCGCCTTCAACATATTCCAAGACGAATTTATAACATGAAATTTCTTCTTGCCATCGTCGTATTTTGGCATTATTGAACTCTTGTTGGTCCAGTATGTCAGCGATCTGTGGTCGGTGAAGATGACGAAGAGGCGGTTGCGGAGGAAATAATCAAATTTCAATATTGCCCACTTTATTGCATATGCCTCTCTTTCCGTCGTGGACCAGTTCTTTTCCGTGGAGTTGAATGTATGGGAAGCGACCGCTATATCTTTCTTCCCGTTGTCGGCTTCTTGCATTAAGATTGCTCCACATGCGACGTCACTGGCGTCGGTGGTGAGTGTGAAAAGTTTGGAGAAATCTGGAAACGAGATGACATGTGGCGAAGAGAGACGGTCCTTGATTTTTTTGAAGGCTCTGTCGGCATTTTGCGTCCAGACAAACGGTTTATTAACCTTGTTGAGTTCGTGTATGGGACCCATAAGTTTTGAAAACATATCTGACCTGATTTGTTCGTGAAGACGTGTCTCTAGGAATTGTCTGATCCACACTAAACGGCCGATAAGGCTTTGTAATTCCTTTTTTTGATGTTGAGGTTTCATTTCCCTGATGGCACGAACGTATTCTGGATCAGCCTTGAATCCTTCGCTGTTTACTATGCGTCCGAGAAATTTTGCCTCTGATGCGAGGAAGGAACATTTATCAGGATTCGGCTTGAGTCCGAATTTTCAGAGGGCAGTAAAAAATTGTTCGAGGGAGAGTATGTACTCCCTAAATGTCCTAGCGTGGACCAGGTTGTCGTCGATATAGGAAGAAATGTTGTCACGGGATGTGACCGTGGCTAGGGCTTCTGCTATGCAACGGGAGAAGATTTGTCCGGCAGATGTAAGGCCGAAGGCCAGGCGCGTGTATTGATAGCATTGGTCCTTCCATGTAAATGCTGTTTTGTATCGGTCTCGCTTGTCGATCTCAATTTGCCAGTAGCCGCTGCGTAGATCAAGGGTAGTAAAATATCTATTGCCTTTGCCGATTTTGTTGAACAAGTGGTCGATCCTTGGCATTGGGTAAGGGTCAAGATCGACTAAGACCTTGTTGAGAGTTCTTTTTAAAGTTAGCAACGACACAAATCGGTCCGTTTTTCTTGCGTACGGCAAATACAGGGCTATTGAAGCCTTTGGGGTCGCTGCAGTTTTCAATGATACCTTCATCAGCCATACGCTTAATTTCGGTATCTACGTCTGCTTCCAAAGCCTGGGCTATCGGGTGTTGTTTCTGGCTGCGAGACTGGCCGTTGGTTGGTATGCGGATGGGTCGGATGAATGTGACTTTACTGCTGCTTTCGGTGCCGATAATGTCAGCGTAGCGAATGAGTAAGTTTGCAGTGGCCTCTAGTTCGTCTCGGTTCGGGTGGTTTGGTAGCGATAGTCCCGTGTTATGTTTTAGCCAGGTTAGCTTTTGATCCAGTGTCTGGATGTTGGGCTGTAGTTCCATAGTAGGCTGGTTTTGGATGATGTCAGCTTGGGCGCCATATGCTGGATCGTTGGTTGACGATGACGGTGATATGATTGCGGCTGTGTGTGTTGTTGTTGTATATCCTGAGGAAAGTGTGCGTCTGAATTCTATAGTCGCATTTTAGTTGTCGATTAGATAGGAATCGAGCGTGTTGTGACGTAGGATATTTTGGCCGATTAGGATTGGTGTGGTTTGGGTAGTTACCAGCACGTTAAATTTTTTTGAATGTGGGTGAGTGGCGCGTTTCTTTGGTTTGGCCGCTGTGGTTTCTGTGTGAAATACACAGTGTCATGCGAAGTTGTGTCGTTGGATTTTACACCGCGATCAAGGTATATTTGAGCTTCGGAGGCTATGCCAATGGCTGAATAGTGGTTGTCCATTGTCTTGACGGGATGTGGGTAGAGATTTGAGTTCCAAATTTTCACCTTTTCGCTCATTAGCATAGCGCCGATGATGGAAATAAGTCCATCGACTGTTAAGTCTGTATTTTTGTCTTTTTTGTAATTGTTTTTTATGTGGACGGCTGCCTCTCTAAGGGTGTTTTCGAGTCGACCCGCGAAGTCTGTTAATTTTTCGCCGTCTCGCCGTTCCAGGTCACAGACTTGACTGAGGTGTTGGAAGTTAGTCATCTGGCTTCCGTGGGATCCTAATTACCAATCACCAATAGAGTTCCTCGTTATAAAATCGATTTCACTATCAAGGAAAACCTCAGAACAAATCATCAACGGCCTTTGCGTCAAAGTTTGCATGAAGTTTTATTATCTTCCGATTCTTTGAAGAAAAGAAATCCCAACGCGTGTACAAACCTTTTTATTTTTTTTTTCCTTTCTCTGTCCTTTCATCAAACATTTGCTAATTTAGATTTCTTGTATTTTACTCTTTTTCTTCCGATTAAAAGAACAGAGGCAAAACCGGTTCGTTTTCCTCTTTCATCTTTTTTTACCATCAGTTTTTAATTATGCCTAATAATATTCAGCTTAATGTTTTTACAGCAATACTCAAATTCTGTACCACTAAGAATGTTATATATATATATATATAAACATTCTTAGTGGTACAGAATGAAAAAGAAGTAACTCTAAAATACATAGGATTTTGTTGCCAGATACAAAGGGTCAATTGAATAACCGAAAGAATTAAGTAGAGTTATCTCCCTTTGACTGCTCAATTTTTTTTTCTATTTGCTTTCTTTCGGGTATCAAAAAAAAAAAAAAAAGGGAAGGCAAAAGAAAGAAAAAAGAAAGAGACAGAGAGAGAGTAAGAAAGAGACGGGGTAGATAATAAAAAAGAAAAGATAAACACAGGTCAGAGGGCGCGGGAGAGAGCTGAAATTTTGTCGGTCTGGGGGAAAAAGTATTTTATCTGCGATATTTTTCCATCATTTTATCGTCTTCATTGTTAATAATATTGATGACGATGATTTTACGAGTGTTTTTTTGTCTCTGCTTCACCTTCCGAAATAGACGAGTCACTCCCTTTACCTCCAATCTTCCCTTCTATTCCGAGCCTAAGAATAGGCGGCTGTGGCTCTCCACAGTCTCCTAATTCTGCAATCTCTTTGAAATGGTCATTACCTTTTCGGACTGGTTTCCCATCCAAGGCTAGAGAGTTTAGTTTACCCTGCTGTTTTACTTCTGCAGGGACGAAATAGATTCATGTCTTTCCCAATGAACGCGACCGAAATTTGAATCCGGTTTACCGATTCCATTTTTCATGATACACCAATCCTTGAGTTTTCTTCTAAAATCGAAAAAGAGAGAATGGAATATAGATTTCTTGTTGGAATCTCTCTTTCACAGATTCCACGGCCAGGACCTAAAAAAAGCCTCACTGGAATTTCCATCTAGAATTTCTGCCTTAGTAAAAACCGATTCTTTCTTGTCTTTTAGACATTCTCCACCCCACCCCCCCGCCCCCAGCAACATTTTGGTTTTATTCTCTACAGAATAAAAAAATGAATGTCAGTCTTCAAATGTCTTTAAACAAAATAAAAACAAAAACTCTTTCGGGGAAGAAGAACCAAAGACACATTTCAGAAAATTCACGGTCCTGCTCGACAACCACGAAGAAAAGAAAAAACGAAAAAATATTTCTTTTTTTGATGCGTGAAAGAGAAACAAAGAAAATAAGAAAAAGTTAAGAGGGAAAAAAGATAATGAATAAAAAAAAGAAAGAGAAAGTTGGAAATTAAAAAGTAAAGGAATAAAAAAAGAAAGTAAGAAAAAGAAATTGAGAAACAAAAAGAATACAAAAAAGAAAAGAAAAGGAAGAAAAAGAGAAACAAAGAAAGTAAGAAAAATGAAAAAGAGATAGAGAAAAAAGGAGAAAAAGAAAAGACAAAAAAGAGAAAAAAGAAAATGGGAAAAAGATAGAAAAAGATAAAAGAGAAAAAAGAAAAAAAAGAGAAATAAAGAAACTAACAGAAAAGAAAGAAAAAGGACAAAGATATAAAAAGAAAAAAGAAATTCACATATTTGACAGAACTCATATTGTTATCCGACGAAAAATTGAACTTTTAAGTGAAAAAGAATTAGTTTTGTTTTTTTGCATAAATTAAAAAAAGTCGATCAATAATTATCGATTTATTTGTTGTTTTTATTTCCATTTCAAAATGAAATCAATTTTGCTTGCACATCTTCTATCAAACATCGATGGTCGGAGACAAAGGTGGCAAAAAAAAAAAGGCAAAAAAATTCAATTTAAGAAAAAATTCAAAAAACGATTTAAAAAAAGAAATTTTATTTGCAAACAAAATAATCTTATTATTTAAATAATTTTGAAAGTTTTTAATAAATTATCTCCATCGTTTTTTAAATAAACAAACAATTTTTGGCGGGAAACAAAAATCCTTGGAAAATGTTCAGATTCTTTCGAAAATTTATGCAGAACTTTTTCCCCAAAACAGAAAAAATTCCTTGTTTCGTCGAAAAATAAAAATATCCAAATTTATTTGAAAGAAAATCGGAATTTTTTTCATCCATTTCCAACTTTTCAAGAATTTCTCCATATTGATTCCAGACGAAGATTTCTGACTTTCCAAATCTTGCCCCCAACAAGTTCCCAGTCGTCGGATCGGCACGAATACGGGGGACAGAAGTACTATTCCCCGCCGACCCCGCAAAGTGGATTATTTCTATTGCTTCTCCATTTTCATTAAAACAAACAATTTTTTGAAAATCCATTTTAGAAGCGAAATTTTTTTTGTCAAATTGACACAAAGACCAAAATTTCTTTTCTTTCGTGTCAATTGCTTTTTGGATTTCTAAAAATGGCGGATACTTTTTTGCGCCAAAAAGAAGTCTTCCCGACCCCTAAAAATTGAATCTTATCTCCCCCTTCAAAAACTCCAGACCACAGACAACGAAAATGTCTTTTGAAAGGCGACAAATGTCCTGGGAGCAGAATTTCTTTCTTCCGTCCGTTAAGTGACATTGGCCGACCAATTTTCCAGAGTCATCGAATTCATGGATCGATCTGCCATACGCATCGCCAACAAAGACACGATTGTCTTCGTCGCTGACATCAATCGAATTAATATCCTTCGGGTTCGATACTTGCAGACGGCATTCACTTTCCATTTGGAAATGCTCAGATGTCTCTACCGTCCACTCGATCATTTCTTTCTTCAGTGACTCTAGGGAATCGTGACACCATTTCGGAAATGTCACGAACCAACGGACTTTCTCAGGTTGAGCAAACGATTGGCGGTGCCGCGCAGAAAGCTCCACTCCCACCAACCGCAATCCACAAACGACGTCCTCATCGGCGATGGCGTCCGTCAACAAATGGCGCAAAGTCTGGCGCCAGATCTTGACCTTCTTCAAAAGGTTGTCTCTCTCCTTGAGGGAGAGGCGCCATTTTCTCTCCAGTTTGGAAGATGTCTCCCTCATATAGTCGCACAGCTCTCCCAACCTGAGTTGTGCATTTTCCACGAATGCCTCGAAATCCTGCCAGAGTTTTGAGCATTCAGCATCGCAATCCGTTGACAGTTGGTCAATGGATCGCCTCGTCTACTCGTTCGTCGCCCGGATGTGGATTTCAAGCGGAGTTCCCGATCCAGGGTGGAGCCGCGCTTCTTCTCTTTTGACGTCTCCTCCCTCACCGTCAACGGACGAGGCGGACATTGCGGGGATGCGATCATGTGATCCTTGTAACATGCGTCGCACAGGCACACGTTGTACCACACGCAGAAGTCGTCCTTGGATTGGCAGTGCCGGCGACAGTCGTCCGTCGTGATGACCCGAATGGCATCGACCCTCTCCTTGCCGGACAAGTCTTCTCAGTTGTGCGTCCGTTGCGACTTCTTGTGGCCTCTGTTGCAATTACTGCACAAGAGTTTCTCACAATCGTGGGACCAAATCTGGCCGGCCGATTCTATGCCGTCTTCAAAGCACCAATTACACCTCCATTCTCCAGATTCCAGTTGACGGCGCCTAAAAGACTTCACCAAAAATGGTGCCAGTCTCAACTCGTCACCAGTCACAGGCTGTTGACACTGGGGACACTGGCCATTTCCTCCAAGAATCATCTCTACACACGACCCGCAGAAAGAATGAAGACACGATAATGTCTTCGATATCAAGTCCAAAAATTGGTCGCATTTCGAGCATTGGAATGTCTCTTCTTCAGTCACATTTGGAGCCATTGGGAAATTTCTTCCGAAGATAAAATAAATCTGAAAAGAAAGGAAAGAAAAAAAAGGTCAAACTTCAAAATCACAAAAAGACGAAAAAAAATCCATTTCTAAAACCGGACGTAAAATGAGCCTAAATTTCGAAATTTTACAAGAAAAACAAATCGATTTCCTGAAAGAAAAATGTTTTCATCTAAAATCACAAATAAATGAAGGCGAATGAAATATGACAGAGTGGTTATTAATGAAGAAAGAGAAAGGGAGAAGTGCAATTAAAGAGAGCGAAGGAAAGAAAGAGAGAGTGAATGAGAGAGAGGAGGTTCCAAATTGCCGCCTTCACACGCACATTTAACATTTTTTTTTCATCAATTGTAATATTTTAAAATTTTAATATTTCTTCCGATTATTTTTAACTGGATAGAGAGATATATAGATAGATAGACCGATAGATAGACAGATTTGATGAGATAGCAAGGTAGGGAAAGAATGGAAGGAAAAGAATGAAGAAGAGAGAGAAGAAAGAGAGAGGTGGGGAATCTTCACCTTTTTTTTAAAATAGAAAGATAGACTGACAGATAGAAAGATAGAGCGATAAATTAGGTTTCATGAGATAACAAGGAAGGGGAAAGTATGGAAGGGGAGGGATGAGGAAGAAGAGAGAGAGGGAAAGGTTGTATGAAAGAGAGAGAGGGTGAACATTTTCTCCTTTTTAAATAGAAAGATAGACTGACAGATAGACAGAAAGATAGAGCGATAAATTAGGTTTCATGAGATAACAAGGAAGGGGAAAGTATGGAAGGGGAGGGATGAGGAAGAAGAGAGAGGGAAAGGTTGTATGAAAAAGAGAGAGAGGGTGAACATTTTCTCCTTTTTAAATAGAAAGATAGACTGACAGATAGACAGAAAGATAGACCGATAAATTAGGTTTCATGAGATAACAAGGAAGGGGAAAGTATGGAAGGTGAGGGATGAGGAAGAAGAGAGAGACGGAAAGGTTATAGGAAAGAGAGAGAGGGTGAACATTTTCTCCTTTTTTAAATAGAAAGATAGACTGACAGATAGACAGAAAGATAGACCGATAAATTAGGTTTCATGAGATAACAAGGAAGGGGAAAGTATGGAAGGGAGGGATGAGGAAAAAGAGAGAGGGAAAGGTTGTAGGAAAGAGAGAGAGGGTGAACATTTTCTTCTTTTTTAAAGAGAAAGATAGACTGACAGATAGACAGAAAGATAGACCGATAAATTAGGTTTCATGAGATAACAAGGAAGGGGAAAGTATGGAAGGGGAGGGATGAGGAAGAAGAGAGAGAGGGAAAGGTTGTAGGAAAGAGAGAGAGGGTGAACATTTTCTCCTTTTTTAAATAGAAAGATAGACTGACAGATAGACAGAAAGATAGACCGATAAATTAGGTTTCATGAGATAACAAGGAAGGGGAAAGTATGGAAGGGGAGGGATGAGGAAGAAGAGAGAGAAGGAAATGTAGAGAAACAAATTTTTTCATGATTACGGAATCGCGGAATCGTTAATCTTAAACGGAATCTTGGTTTTTAATGTAATTTTCAATAATAAATCATAAATTGTTTTAGATTTGTTTTTATTCTTTCAAAACTTAAGAACTGTCTCTTCGATTTTGTTAAGCATTTTAATAAATATAATAATAACGTAAAGTACTTATTTACTTAAAATTTATTTTTACAAATATTTGTAATTATTTTCCTTATAAACCCCGAAAAATAATTAAGAGCAAAAATGTTTACACAAAAAATAAAAGGGGGTTGACGATATTCCAAGAATATGTTGGCTAATCTATTTTTAAATATTTTAAAACTTTTCTAAGTAACTGTATGTAGCAAACGAGATGTTTGAAGGTCACAGCCCAGTTGTGGCCACTGAGATCCATTGCTAAGGTGGAAATGGAAGACAGAAATTAGTTGCTGTCAAAATTGCATGGGGAGGAAGAGAGAGAAAGGGCGAGAGAGGAGGGGGGAGAGATGAAGTTTAACAAATTCATTTCCTTTAAGGCCTCATACAATTTACAAGTAAAAGATTATAAATAACTTGTTTTATGAATATGAAAGAAAAGTAAATGCTATCACGTGCCTACAATACAATTTAGAAATAAAGAAAAAAAATTCTCCAAAAATACCTTTCTATGAAATGACTGGCTTGTCTAAGTTTACCGTCACACAGTGATTCTCCCGGATTAATAATTGCATCATCTTCAGTGCTTCACTAATGCGAACAAATTTAAATTGAACAAAAAAAAATACTTTAATAATATTAACTATCAATGATTATTTTTTTTTCATATTTTATTTATATTTTGTAATCTAAACCAGTTGTATGAATAAGCAACAAATTGCCAAAACGACTGAATAAAGTCAATATAAAGAATCAACCTCTAAAGTTGGATTTTGCTCCACTAAGAAATAAAAAAAAAAGAAAATGACTCCAGTATCTAAAATTTGTGCTAAGGCCAGAGTAGAACGATTTCCTGTAAACGTTTATGCAGAAGGAAATATGTTATTTTGCAAATTCTGTTTCCATAGTGTTGATATATTTAGGGTTGACACAATCAAAGATTACATTCAAATCAAAAACTAATTTGACAAAAAGTCTTTAAAAAAGTCGACACAACTGAAACAAAAGACAATCACAACTTTGTTGAAAGAGTTACAAGATGATTTTGTCCTTGATTTTTTTGGAAATGTGTACTTTGTCTAACATTCCCTTACACAAAACTGACGAAATGAGGCTATTCATATTAAAACATTGTAAAGAAGGTGGTACTATTCCAAGTGTCAATTGTGTAAGACAACTTCATCTACTAAAATTGTTTGCTTGTCATTTTGCTGCCCTGAAAGCCAAGCTTGCTAATCAATCAGTCAGCATCATAAGAGATGAAACAACTATCATGATCACAGCGCTTTGAATGTAATTGCAAGCATTCGTGCGGAGTCATTTTCCATGGAAAATGCAACCATCAAACTGTAAGTCAGGCATGAATCTGAGCTGTAACTCATATGGATATTGCATTTGACGATATTATTGCCTTTGTAACAGATTTTGAAGCATATTGCAAAAAAAGCTCATAAGGAAGTGTTGTCAAATGTCTTTGTTAACAATTGCACATATTTTAAATCTTGTTGGTGAAGTATTTTCACACTGGTCAGCATTTGGTTTTATCAAGTCAGCCTTTTTTAAAAGCCTAGTCGGCAAAAGCGATACTTAAATCAGCTTGAAGTTTCCTTGACTAAGAAACAAATGAAACTACCCCCTGTACTAGTGGCAACCAGATGGAATTCCTGGTTTAATGCGGTCAAATATCACTCATCCTTTGTGCAGGTTTTTGAAGGATTCTTTAAGCAAGGAAAGAGACATGACCTTGCAGTAGATGGGATTCTAGAATTAGCAGATGATGCTTTTTAATTTTCATCTAATTCTGCATTTTATAAGTGTGAACCGCACTCATTTAATAAGAGGTTTGACAAACTTAGAAGAAATTAAGTCTCCACTTGAATGCGTTGTATATAACATGATGGAGGATGTAAAATAGTATTTGCATATTGGTACATCAAACTCAACATTTGACCTAGAAACTGATTGTCTTCTGTCTGAACTAGAAAACAGAGAGGGAGAGAGTTATCTCAAATTTCCAAGATTTTTCCAGCACATCTTTTTTGAAACTGAAAAAATACCTGGATACCCACCCTGTGTATAACTTTTACAAGGCAGCTCAACTGTTTGATCCTAGACAGCTACTCTGTATATGGCATATTTAGGAACTTCTGCAGGCATCAAGGACTTGCAATGTCGTTCTACTGATCTTCTTGAAGAATTTGAAATGTATGTGAATTACCAAGATGATTTACCATTTTTTTTTTAATATTCCATCATGTTGGAATGCAAATAAGAGCAGATTTCCTGTTTTTAAACAAAGTGCCAATATGGATGCCTGTTACCAGCATGGATGCTGAATGTTTATTTTCTCAGTATAAACATTTACTCAATAAACAACGTGAAAGTCTTACCTCTGAGAACACCAAGCAACTCACGGTTTATTACAATGGAGATATATATTTATTTTTGAACTTGGATTTTAAACTTTAAAAACAGATTTGTAGATATTTGCTATTTCTTTATATGCAATAAAAATGAAAAACGGAAAATTGGGGGCCCTAGAAATGTTGTATGAGAGAGAGAGCGAGAGAGAGAGAGAGAGAGAAAGAGAGAGAGAGAGGGGACATTTTCTCCTCTTCTTTTAAATGGAAAGATAGACTAACAAATAGATAGAAAGATAGACCGATAACAAAATAGGTTTCATGAGATAACAAGTGAGGGAAAGTATGGAAGGGTAGGAATGAAGAAGAATGGAGAGAAGGAAAGGTTGTATGAAAAAGAGAGAGGGGTGGAGAATTTTCTCATTTTCTTTTAAATAGATAGATAGATAGACCAAGAAGTAGATTTTATGAATTTAGAGAAGAAATGGTTAGAAAAAGGTTTTTCTCTAAATATGAATTTGGTTTAAAAATAAAGAGCTAGAGAAAATAAAATAAAACGAGCATTTCTCGTCGCATACATGAAAACATTTTGGAAATTTGGATTATTTGGAAATCGATAGGAAAATTCTGATTTATAATTGATTTCGTTTCGATTTCACTTGAGTGAAATTGGTTTTCCTCAAAAGACAACAGCACGTATGTACAAAATGTGGCACAAGGCCAAAAAGGGGGTTGGGGAAGGACGGTCTGTCTTAATTGTAATCTTAGCTAGTCACAGACACGGACCCAAACATACCAACAATAGTCCTATCACCAAAACGACACATTCACTCCTACCTTTCTTACTACGTCCACCATCATACATCAAATTCTCCATGAAATCCTAACTAGTCTCCATATGTACATTTCAAAGTCTGTGTGTGTGTGGGGGGGGGTAACAACAATTTAAAAAGCCCCAATGATTATTTACAATATGAAACAATACTATTTACATGAAAACAAAATAAAATAGGGTTAGTAATTAAAAAAAAAAACAATCCCTAAATGTGGCAGAAACATCAGTTAACTGGACTAAATAATTGCGGGATTATAACATTATAAAAAAACAAACAAGCCCACAAACACGCACTCATTTAGACACAATGACAAATACGAAAACACACACACGAAACGAAAGTCAACCCGCAACAACCAGAGAACTGACATTACTGACCACCTAAAGAGGGAGGGGTGGGGAATTAAACAAAAGAAAAATAGGGACAGAAATAAAAGGGGACCAATGAGCAGACATACCCGAGCTAAGTTAACCAGAAACGGAAAACTAAAGATTCAAACTAAAAACCGAAACTAGCCTAATATCGGGGCGGGTTTCCTCTGTTCAACCCAGAAAGGACAAAATTCCTGTAGCTAACCGACGTCCGAGTGCCACTCCAGGTCAGTCCCTTTCACTCTACACAGTCGCGCAAGATTTACCCACCTTTTGCCGAATTCTGATGAAAAGAGTCGTTGCCTTTCCGTTCTAATCTTGATGCCTAAAGTACAAGATCAGTTGGTAAGAGGTGAACTTCTCACCTCCATAGAATCCCTTCTGACGTGTCGACCAAATCACGACTCTCATAACTCCTAGCAAGCAGTGGAACACACAAAGTTCAGCCTTCGTCAACGGCGGCGCCACATTGCTACAAACAGAAGAGGCCTCAAGGACAAAGAACTTTCCGTGCAACATGCGAACCATGAGGCCTTCAACAAACTTACACAACGGAGCTACCAACTTGCAATGAAAGAAAACGTGACCAAGAGTCTCGACATCCCCACTACAACGTCAGCAATTTGGAGATTTCTCCAAGCCCGCTTCGCAAAGTTTTTTGGCGACCTAAAGGACCTCACGCATCACCAGCCAAGTGAGGGATGCCTCATCGTTATTGAGACATTTCAACCCGGGAGCCCAAGGCCAGATCGAGCGAGCCTCCTGTTTCATAAGACCGAGCTCGTCAATCAGATCATCATGAACGGATCCCCTGACTAACACTTGATATAATGCCCTACGAGACAACGCCTGGACGTTGGAGAGGCCATCCAACGCCCGTAAGAGGCGTTTCAGAGCAAGACGACATTCACGGTAGAAGGAGCACTCGGCTCGGGGTAAACGGCGGTCCTCCTCGCACAAGTGCACACTTCTCAAGGATGGGAAATTTTTACGGGCGTCTTCCTTCTAGAAGGCCCCCCCCCATCATCCGGTTCGCGACACAAACGATCTAGGAACCCGATGCGAAGCATATAGAGGCGGACCTCAATGCTAGGCATACCTAGACCGCCTTCAGATGGATGAAGGCAACAAATCTCCGGAGAGACTCTGGAAGACTTGCCTCCCCACAAGAAGGAGAACAAGAGCTTCACTAACGCCAGTGTCAGACGGAAGTGGAAGCACAGAGAGTCGGTAAAGGAAAATCGGGTAGATATGTGAAACACATACCTCCGCCCTCCTCTTTAAGGAAAGATTCCTCCGAGACCACAAATTAATTGCGATCTCGGCCTTTCCTTGTACCTCCGACCAATTCATTCCCAACTGGATATCTGGACCGAACCAGACGCCGACTATCTTGACCGGTCCATCCGTCCAGTGGAAAGGTCCGGGAAGAGATACTCTCTTCCACGCACCCAACCGCAAGCCAACAGATTTATCGCGGTTGATCTTGGCTCCTGTCACCATCTGATAACCACTGATTTCTTTGCTGACTTCGTTAATCTCGGCTCTGCTCGACACAAGAACCGAAACGTCGTCAGCATAGGCAGAATACCTGACCTAGGTGGTAGCACCAGGTAGGGAAATTCCGCGCAGGAACGGATTCGCCTTTAACTTGCGAAGGAATGGTTCCAACGCAAGAACGTAAAGCAAAGGCGAAAGCGGACAACCCTGATGAATAGATTGAGACAATACGAAAGGTTCCGATCTTACCCCGTTCACTTCCACCAGCGCACCGGGAGTCGCATACAGAAGACGGATCCAGGAGCGAAAGTCCGGCCCGAAAGCGACAGCCGAAAGAACAGCCTCCAGGAATCGATGGTCAACTCTATCAAAGGCCTTGGACTGATCCAAATTGATCAGCGCGGCTTCACTGTCGACTTTATTATCAAGCGGACCATATGAAGGTTGTCCTGAATAGCCCTGCCCTTCACAGCACAAGTCTATTTGGAGCCAATCAGACTAGATAGGACAAGCTGCAAACGGTTGGCTAAGATCTTGGCCAAAATCTTTAACTCTGTATTTAACATAGTTAAAGGGCGAAAATTACCTATCCCATCCCCACCATTTTTGTCCTTACGCAGCAACTTGATCACACTCCTGGTGAAGCGTTGAGGTATAGATCCCTGCTTCATCCAGTTGTTGAAAATCAGTCCCAGCAAAGGAACAAAAACGGGCGACTGCCTCAAGTAGACTTCGTAGGGAAGACCATCTAATCCCGGAGACTTATCCAGGCCAACCTGTTTCAACGCTTCCCAGATTTCTGACTCTGTGATAGGACCCTCGCACCTAGCCACTTCAGCTGCCTCAAGTCAGGGAAAGTCGGCTAAAGAGGCGTCGAACTGAGCAGGGCTTAGAACGGGCTCCCTGGTAAAAAGATCCCGAAAATAATCCCGAAAAGCCTCACATGTACCCGAGTTTGTAGTCATGGTCCGCTTATCCGGCAATGTGACGCACGCAATATGCCGCCGTGATGCATTCCTACTTTCCTCTGCACGCAATTCTGCGGCCATATTCGTCGCCTCAGAGGACATTCTTTTTAACCTAGCCCTAACTACCAGAGCTTGATCCTTCTTGATAAGCATGGATGCCAACTCTGCCTTAGCTAAGGCTACTTCCTCACTATCACGAGATTTAACTGCCCGATCCACTCTTTGCTCTAAAGCCGTTTGCACCGCTAATCTATCTAGATTGAGTCGACGACTAAAATCAGCAGCAAACGTTCGAATTTTCGATTTTAATTTGTCCCACCAGGCATTTCCCACCACAGCCCCCGTCAGTTCCCTTTGTAACATTAGTAACAGCTGGTCCCGAAATTTCTGCTCGACAAATAACGAACAGTTAAATTTCCAGTAACCAGCTATCCTAACCTTAGGCTTATCTAAGTTTACACTGACCCGGACAAGCCTATGATCCGAAAAAACTATATAATGGAAACTTGGACACCCTAAGAGCCCTACATCGACTCTCCTAACTAAAACTCGGTCGAGGTAGCTAGCACACACACCTACAGCCGAGCTGCCACTATTTGTCCAAATCCAAACTACCCGCTGAGGGTGCTCATTCCGGTATTTGTCGACAAGATTAAACCCGTCGACAAAGTCGTGAAAAGGTTTCACGCCCCAGTTGTTAGTACCCGAGATTGAATTTGACCCTATACGCTCTATTTCGGGGTCAAGGACGGCGTTCCGATCCCCCACTAAAACTACCCGCCTTGATGTCGTCATAAACGGCCCGATCTGCCGAAACAAAACAGACCGCTCAGCCTGGATATTGGGCCCATAAACCCCAATGAAACGCAAAGCCTTATCCTTTATGGTAACATCATTAGACGAGAATAGTCACCCCGACCCGAGCTGGAGGACGTTTCATTAGATCATAAGGGAGGGAGGGGGGATTAAGGATGAGAGAAAGAGAAGAAAGAATGAGAAAATGTGAGAAGAAAAAGGAAAGGGTTTATGCAAGAGGGAGGGAGTCCATTCCTTTATTTCAAATAAATGATATTTGAATGGAAAGAAACTTTTAAATAAATTAATAGTCATCAAATATGATAAATATTTTTTAAAAAATCTAATTTCATTCTATCAAGTATCATGTTATGTAAATAAAACGAAAATGTCGAATCAAATTTGAATTTTTATGTAAATGTTTATTTCATAAACTATTTTCCTTTATTGGAATTGATTGAAATTTATTTTCTGTTTTGACAATGCATTACTTAAATAAAATGGTTCACTCATAAAAAAACGAAAATGATTGACTTTTTCCCTGCTTCATTTATAATAAGATCGACACAGTGCAAAATCGATCCCTCATTTTTTGACACATTTACTGGACTTTTTTAACTGAAAATTTTACCTCAGGTTCAAAATGATTTTTTTTAAATGAAGAATCTTTCTGGAAGCTTTTATTTTAGATTTAATTCCAAGCAAAATGATTAAATTTCATATTGCCAATCAGCAAAATACTTTGCTGTATTTCAGAACTAATTTCAATTAACTGAAAAAAAATGTTTTCTCTTTTCCAAAAATAACGGGTTATCGATATTATAAACTTTATAAATTCTAAACTCAAATTTTTACCTAAGGTTACTTTTTTCGTTTTTATAACGAAGGGACACCCGTCTATTTAGTGCCAGGAATTGAATTAAGTTCCGTTTTTCTCTCAGTATGAATTCGCTTAAAAAAATAAAGAGGAGAAAAGGGCGTTACATGAGATAACAAGGGAGAAAAAGTAGGGAAGGGGTAAGTGAAGGGTAGGAATGAGAAATAAAGAAAGAGAAAGAAGAGTTGTATTTAAACAGACAGACAGACAGACAGACAGGTTTAATGAGATAACAAGGGAGGGAAAGTAGGAGAGGGGAGGAAATATCAAGAAGAGTTATATGAAAAACAGAGAAGGGTAGTTTTTTTTCTTTTAATACATAGACAGACTGACAAGTAAACCGACAGATAGATAGATAGATAGATAGATAGATAGATAGATTGGGTTATGTTGACCTCTAATCTTCAACCCTGACAAGATAAGCCAGTAATGTTTGCATTAACTTCTGACTACCTTTTCCTACGTGATTTCTAATACATGCCGTCATCAACAATTTTCTCCGTCATAAATATCTTCTTTGTGCAGTGAAGAAGTCATGCAGGAGAGATAAGGTCCTTCGTCAGTGATAAGAACAGTTTCGACATTGTCCACATTTCAAATGCAATCAAACCAAATAATACACTTGTTAATGCTGTGTCCCTTTCTACCTAACCATGACAACCATGGGCAGGTGACGACGTACCTTTCACTGGTTAAATAAACAACAATTTTCTTTTCAATTCCAATAAAGCAAGATAAGAGGAACAGATCAGAAGACATGCAAAGACAGGTATACAAAATCGTAATCCGAGGAGCAGATAAAATGTTTCCACCCCAACCGAAGAAAGATATGAACTCACTTTCCTAGATCTGTGTCTACATATCGGTGCCTCTCTCTCTCTCTCACTTTATCTCCCTCTCTTTTCCCTCCTTGATTAACAATTGTATTCAATCTATATTTGCTTAAGCGTCTAAACTGAAATTGAGAACACACACACACACACACAGAGAGAGAGAGAGAGAGAGTGACGTCTAAATACGATATAAGAAAGTTCATCAGAACAATGGAAGTATTTGTCGTAGGTTGTTCTGGTGATACGTTGTCCTTGCCGGAATGTATATATATATATATATATATATATATATATATAGTGTGTGTGTGTGTGTGTGTGTGTGTGTGTGTGTGTGTGTGTGTGTGTTGGGCAGCGGAAAAAGAGCATCATCAGCCCACAACGAAATTATAAAATTACAAACAAACTCATATACGAGATACAATTAAATAAACAGAGGAAAAAACAATAAGATGCTTTAGTATACTTATGAGAGAAATGATTGTATAATTTAAAGAACACATGTCTATACAGAAATAAAGTTATTTTTCTCATTTGTTAGTGGCGACATGTTTTATCAGAAAACCCCCTTCGGCGCTCGGTAAATAAACAAAGGGAAAATTTTGATTTTTGTTTCACTTGTGAGTAAAACCATTGTTCTGGTGCATCATGGAAGTATTCTACATTTATTTAGTTATTTTTTAATAATCTAACTTTTTATTACTTTATTATTATTTTACCATTCGTATTTGTATTTTAAAGTATATTTATTGCTCATCTTTTAATTTTCCTGTTATTATTAATTAACCCTAACCCCTAACCCCTAACCCTATATATATTAATTATTATCATATTATTTATTATGAATTATATCCTTTGTCTTTATTAATCATTAATTATTTTGGTTCCAGACTACTAAAAAGTCGAGTAATAATTAATGGAGGCATTCAGTAATTTATTTGTTGAATCACTACATATGTTTAGTAAAGACACAGGAAAGCTGCCTTATGGCGTTGAGGAAAGTGGCTGAAACCGAGATGACAGGTCAGGACCGATAACATGGCAAATTTTTCACTGGATTTCCAATTCAATGAGTTTTTGTGCGTAAAACTGCGCTCAGATTTTCATACAAGTTTAAGATCCCAATTTTACGCCAACAAAAAGAAAATTTTTAAGTAAAATTTCCAACTATTATAAAAAGAATAAGGAATGATAATGATATAAAGAATTCTTTGATTTGACTTCTTAATAATCCAAAGATTTTCTTTTAGTGGGTTTTCGGCATTTTTCTATGAAGTATCTCTCTTTTTTAATGAACTGAAGGTGTAAATGCTGCTTGGTTTATGTATTGAGATTATCAAATGTAATTGCTAAGAGCATTTATCTATCATACATTTAACTATTCAAGAAAAAAACAACGGGACTCCAATTGTGCATCAACATAAATATATATTGAAACAATAACATACAAAGCAATCATGCAATGTTGTGTAGTAATTAAAGGGAAAAAAAGTTGCATCCCTTTAACTGCATTTTGAATAAGATTGAATGTTCGAAAGAATTTCTCTTGGATTAGATTGTTCAGGATTCTATGTTGCATAGAGTCTGGTGTAGAAAGGAATACAGTCAATTAAGAAGTGTGTTGCTTTGAGAAATTAATAGAGTGTTGGTTTGTGAACTTGGCTCAATCACAGAGAGGAAGAATAGTGTAATGTGATACAAAAATCTGTGTCTGTGTGTGCGTTGCGAATAAAGTCGTGGATTTGTGTAGACAGGCGTCAAATAGCTGGACTCTACTGAAAGTTGTGGAAATAAATCGCTTGTTTATATAACTGCTGGGAGGCTCCCAGCGACAACGCGGGAAAATAGATTTAGCACAAAAATATTTGATTGATTAAAATTCAACCAATCACTGATTTTGTAACAAAGACATATGTGAGCAAATTCACGACAGAAAAAATTCAAAATGGTGACTGCGATTGATAAATTGTCTTATGGTAAAGCAGTATCTATTTACTAGCCAATCGCAGACGAATAAATTGTGAGCGTGGGAAGCGTAGCAGTCGCTACAAAGGTACTTATTGTAAATTGATCCCTTGATGGAAGCCAAAAACAAATATGCTCATAAGACGGGATTTATTAAAATATAATAGAGAAAAAAAATTTTCATAATCTGAAATTGCTTTTTATATATTAAGTTCTCTAGATAAGTAAGGAACTTAGGCTCATTGATTGGTGTGTCTAAGATCCTAAGTCGTGTGTCATCCCTGGCTACTTTCATTTCCTTAGTCTCCTCAGTGAGGCCGTTTCAAGAAAGAAATCACAAGATGTTGTCGTTTGATCTGGATATCACTACAGTATTATTATCTTTACGCCTTCGAAACCATTCAGTTATTCCCCCTTATTTCGTCTCAATTATCACCTTTGGTTCGCCAGGATTTTCTCCCCTTTGTCTTTTATTTTTGATACGCACGTAGTCAGTGCTTATTTTATCGATATTAAAATCTCTACGTTACATTCAAAGTTTTTGTGTGTCGTATATCTTACTTAATGTTACTTATCAGTAAAAAAAATTCTTTTATTTAAACTAAATCTTCTACGTTATATTCAAGGTCGTTTTGTGTCGTATATCTACTCAAGTTCACTCATAAGGTGAGTATGCTTTATCAAGCATTTCCCAATATTACCGCGCGAAGGGATTATATCCTCAGGCTGATATCAAGAAATTATCCCTTCACTAATTAAACGTAGGGAGAATCGAATAGGCCTCTTAGTCGGAACGATAACGCTCTAACGCCTCAACCATTTGCAAATTGTGTCAGATTCTGCCGATGTTCAGATTACGTTAAATTCAAACAGGTGGTGTATTTTAATACAAAAGTAGAAATTACTGAGAAAAATACATTAAGCAGTTCAATGTAGAATAAAATACCCTTCACCCGCCGAAAAAAAACAAAAAACTGTAGCAAAAAGATTAGCTGCAAGATGAGCCGATGCATTCCACGGCGCCTACAAAACTTGATAAAAATCTTCCTTCCGCCTAAATGTATCCACACTTCCCACTCCCCACAAAAAAAAAAAACAATTGAACAAATATGTACATATGAAGGAATTTTAAAATTTGGTGTGCTTTATTAGTTTTCCTGCGAAGATGTAGTATTGTGGTACAAGTCGGCTTCGATGGAGAAGGATGGATTCTTGTGGTAATTGAGTACAAATGTTTTCCTTCATTTTAAATCTATCCTCAAAATTTAGAAAAAATTTCACATAAATAAAATTGACAGAAACAAAATATTCAAACAGAAATAAAAATTGTGTTAGTATAACCAGTTCAACCCAGAAAATAAAGAGCGGCTGCTGTATTCTGCCGATAAGCAGAATCAAGAAGCAAATTCACTTGTGGCGCGAGAGAGACAAATCATTTTGGAAATGGGGAATGATATCGTAATGTTCTGATTAAAAGGAACTAGAAAATTTGGGATGAAAAAGCCAAGTTTTTATTTTACAAATTATTACCTTTCTCTGTGGCACAAGGACAATGCGAATAGACTGATCAACACTGACTATCCTACTCCTTCTTAGATAATGCGATTTACGATCCATTCACTCTAATAATTGACACAACCACCACAAGAACTTCTCCCTTCAATCTGAACATATACCAAAATACTACATTTTCTCAGGTGGGGTGGGGGAGTTTGATAATACACCCATAATTATATATATATATATATATATACACACACACACACACACACACACACACACACACACACACACACACACACACATATATATATATATATATATACATCTGGTGTCAAGTGTTGGTGTTGAATGTAGAATAAAGAGTTGACGGCTCGTCTCGCCCCCGAAAAGCTTGTACCCATTGATCGCACATACGCGTGTGACAATGTGTCGCCCCCGAATTCTGGGGTGAAACGAATGATGTTTCTGACGCTGCTGGCCACGGCTCGAATAGTGATTTGGACAACGCGACAGGAGGAAGTCTTACGAGGCAATCGTCTTTCTCATCAGGATCTGATCCGATTCTTTGAGCTTCAGCTCAAGATGAAGATTAGAACTGATAGAAAAAGCTTGCATTCGACAGTCTTCCACGAAAGGTGGGTGACTGAGGCGAGCTTGGTTCGTTTGAACGGGGCTAGCCTTGATTTTCTCTTTTAGGTCAACCTATGTCACATCGGGGCGGTTTCCTGTGGAGCCCTCCCCTGGTTAAGGTAGACAAGATTTTGTGTACCTAGTTAATGTGAGTAAGTGTTGTTCCCGGCCTGTTCCCGGCCTGTTCCCGGCCACATCTTTGGTTATGATCCAGGTTGAGATTCCCAACCTCCCCAGTTTGTTTTGTCCCCCTTTTATCTCGTCTAGGTCTAGCTTTATATTCTCCCATGGCCGTATGATTTTTTTATCCTTTTCCCACTTCCTTATCGAAAGAGCTTCTTGATTTTGTCCCATGGGCAGAATATAGCGGCCTCCCTGCCTTTTGAGGGCTGGACGGGCCCTACTAACATCAGTTAGGTTTAATTTGATTTGTGTTAATATTTCAGTTCGTTACAAGGTTCATCTCCCTCCACTCTCATTTT